TTACCGCCCACGGCTTTGCGGCAGGCATCAATCAGGCCTCCCCCCACTTTTGCCAACCCAGCGGTGCGGAACCTAGTGACTCCCACTTGACTCTTACCGAGACTACTACCTTTTAAACTAAAGAAAAAAAAATTAAGAGGCCCTAATAAGAGAGGCGAACAGGCAGAATGTATTGGAAAAGCAATAATGATCACCACAAAACAAGGCAATTGAGGGGTGATCAACAGAGGTAACACAACGGAAGACAAGGATGCGACCAGGGAAGACGCGGAGGACCGTTCGGTGTCATCCAGACTCTACTCAGGTTGTCTTCTGACTCACCCGATTGAAGTAACAATGAATGCCATGGATCAAGGCAATGCCAGGGTGAGAACAAAGACCTGACAGTAAAACCGCCCTTTCATTGGTCACTTCACCCGTGTCTTCCGACAGCTGACTGCGCACTAAAGAGGGCAAAAGGGGTGAGACTGAGAGAAGAGGGGGCCAACTCCGAAAGGGGCAAAGGGGGAGAGAAGGGAAACTGTGAGAGAAAAGGAGAAGAAGCTCAGTCGACGTTCCAGAAACTGTGGAAACTTTCTTGGTGCGACCGTTCGGGCCCAAGATCCAGACTCTGCTGCTACGGCTCTATTACCCTCATCTATTCGAAACTCCATGGGCTACTACGATGCCGGCTGTTGGTACCAGTGGGTCCCCCAATTATTATCTGCTTCTCTATCTTAAGCGACCAGGTCGACAATACCAGCTGCATTGCGATGCATGGTTGAGTCGTGAAAATCACTTTTTTGACAGGGCCCACGCCGCCCTGCAATCAAGTCATCCATCCTCCACTCACCCAGGGGCCAAAACTGCGAGTCATATGGGCGATCAGGTTGTTACATGGGGGCAGACTGTATGGTAGGTTCGGGAATAACAAGAAAAAAAAAAGAAAAAAATTTTTTTTTTCCCTTTCCCCTTCGCTCTTTTGCCCCCTCCCTTTTCCCCATTCCGGATCACCATCGAACAGCCAGGCGGGAAACACAAGTGTCCACTGTTGGGCATTCGAAGAACCAATGGCCCGTTGGGAGTCCATCAACATCACAGGGAGCAAAATAATTCATGCCAAGGCCAGCAGCCGGTGATGCCCAGGATAGCAAGCGAAGGCAGGCCCTTGTGGTACACTCAAATTACGAATGCTGAGATAGATTATGGTGAGTCCCGGCGTTTATGATTTGTTTACTAGTATCCATCATCGCCACCATTGTCACCAGCACCACAAGGTAGGAATCATTGACCATACACAGTCGGGTATCTAGACAAGTCTGGTTCCAATTCGAGGGCTGCATCAGAACAATATACACACGGGCTCCATCTTGCCCCGTCCCGTGGCCCGTTGGATGCCATGGTACCCCAAAATTAATATTTGTTTTTGCCTATTACGACCATTTGCATAGCTTGCTTTATATTATTTGACATTTTTTTTTCTCTTTCCGAATTTATTATCACTAATACTCGCCCGTTCTTCGACGACCCTTTACCCCGATCTTCCTGGAAGCCGTTTCGCATAGATCTCCATTACTGATATAAATCTGAGATCCCTCAAATTTACCTCCTTTTCCTCTTAGGTCTCCTCGACGTTCCATCCCATTTTCCCTCCGTGTGATAATTGACCGTTGATCGATCGATTTATCTGCCCTGCACTCCTTTTGTCACTCATTCCTTTTTGCTAGTCAACTGCTGCACGCTCTTGCAGTTTTGTGTCTCTCTTCGCCCCATCCACCACCCACTTTAGTGGCGCAGCCTAACCTCAGCGCTAGAACCTCAACGGACCCCGGCCGGTGCGCCTAAATACGCTTCCTTTTTTTCGCTCCCCTTGCTGGTGCCGCTGCAAGACAACGGCCTTGCGATCTTGACGTAATTGCCCCGTGGCTTGCGATTGGGGCTATTTTGAATTTTTTTTAACCCTCCCCTCTGTCTCTCCTTCATTACTATTCATTGTCTCCGGTGCTTTTGACACTTCTTTTTTTATTGTACTTTTTCCCCTTCCTGCTCCGCTCCGAGACAGCAAGTTTCAGCCCTAGAAAAGCTCCCTTGACGGGATTTATCTTCTTCACTCGAACCACGACTACCAAGGAAAAAACATCTACGCATTTCTCAACTTTCCCCCACAAAAAAATCGCCATGTTCTCTTGTGCCAATTATCCTCGCGGTTGCCGCGGTCGCGTCAACATTCAGGGAGGCAAATGCTCTGACTGTGTGGTAAGTCGTCAGCCCTAAACCGGACCTCCGCATCTCACTTGCATTCTACGTGAACCCCAACACTGACATGGCGATTTACAGCAATTGAAGCTGCGTCGGCCTCTTTCAGCATCTCCCTTTGCCCAGCCCCGAGACTACCGGAGAGCCCTTCCATCGGAGATCCTCAACGACTCACCATTCAAGGAGATCGAGCGCTCCCTATGACGACACGGCTACGATCCCATGGCGCTTTAAAATAGGACGGGTGCAGAGATCCCAAAGGATCACTGTGCATATTTCCAGGGGTCCTGCCGGCTGGGACCAAACCCAGGGAATTTTTTTGAGCCTATCTCGCCAACTCTTCGCTTCGCTTCTCGCTTACCGTATGCGGCTTGATGCTCTCTGACTTGATGCATTGCTGGGAGTTTGATCGATCATCTATTATACCATGGAAGGGCGGCTTTATCGATTTTATTTATCCTGGCGGTCTGGCACTGTTCCACTCTCGTCTGCCATCCTTCCCCGTCTCTTTCGCCAGGCAAAACTGCAGAGCGCGGGAAGGGTGGAGGGCGGTCGAGTAGGCTGGTGTACATGTGGGTTTGCTTCTTATTTAATCACAGGAACGGCATTTTGGTTATCTATATTTTATTAATGGGCTACTGGGTGGATTGCCGGATGGTTATGATCTGGGCCCGGAAGGGGCCATGGCGAGAGAGAGAAAAGAGAAAGCTGCTTGGGCTTGACAGTCCAAGACTGCCGACAGCAGGAACGCGCACACACCGCTGGGAATCCATCAACAGTGGACGCAGGGGGTGCCGGCTGGATCTCTCTCTCTTTCTCTTTCTCTCGCCCGGTCATTCTTCTATTCTTCTTTTCCCTCTTCCTTTCTCTCCCCCTTCCTCGCTTTCTATACCGTCTTTGTCTGGTTCCCACACCTCCGTGTACCATTTTCTTTGTCATGTCATGTGTGCTCTGTAATATCGTTGGTCGATTTCCATACCCATTCGGCTAATTGTACGATTTATTATCATCTTTTTCAAAACAAAAAATCGAATAATGCATTTGCCCTAGGTATCTACTTTCTTTTTCTTTTCATCTTATTCAGTTATATTTTTTTTTACTTGGAAGGAAGCAAGGCAGAAGAAAAAAAAAAGCAACGGGCAATGAAAGAACTACCCTAAGTAATCGGATGGATGAATGATCGGCTGACAGTCCCGAACCGTCCGTCCACTTTACTCCTCCTTCGCAACTCCGGACTCCGGAAATGTATCTAATGTCTGCAGACCGTTGTCGATCCTTGGTACTTGCTTTTTTTGGTCCCTTCCCTTCCTCAATGTTCTTCGGTGTGACATCCGGGGGGAAGGAGAACGAGAACTTGGGGGCCCAGACCCCTGCAGAGCGCGGATCCCGGATGTCAACGCTTCCCGGCTTACATGTACATGCCGGGCTGTCATACTTTCATTTTCTTCTACTACTATTAGAGACTAATTACCAGATAATTAGTTGCCTACCTTTTATGTGTTGCTCATGATATCTATTGACCCTGCGACCCGTGTGTATGTGTATATGTGTGCACGGTCACGGTGATTGACTATCTGACGTATGCCGGCCCCAGTCTTCCCGAGATGAAGCATAACGCGTCCACTGGGTTTATCGGGATGGGTGGAGCGGGTTGGATGGGATGAGGGTGTGGCGTCGTCATCGTCATCATCATCATCATTGCGCGGGAAGATTGGCGTCCGTCTCGGCTATGATAGGGACCCCGTGCCGGGATTTGTTGGTTGATAACTGTAGTGGTGGTGGTGGTGGTGGTGGTGGTGTGGCTCGGCTTTGGGTTCCGATCTTATTGCTACTTTTACAGTGGATTAACTTGTGTATGTACTAGTTAGTGGTGTAGAGCTGCCTGGGTTGATGTAAATGTAATGGGTGTATTACTGGGCTGTTGTATTTAATGGTGTGTACTCGTAGATATATATTTTCACATGTGCTAAGGAACATGTTGAGGGTTGCTCATTTAATAATTCATAGATATTAGAATCTCCTTCTCTCGAAGAAAAATCACATGTTGATTACTAGTAAGTAGTATCATATCTCTGTATGGTTGGATCGATCGGGTCCCACCAATGACGATTAGTAGAATTCTGCCTAGTACATACTGAGTATGCAATGGATAATGAGCGAATGATGGTTCGTGCGATCATCTACTAAGTAGTATCTCCAGGCACACTACCTACTACTTGCACTCACTGAAGAACCCAACTCTTCTTTTCTTGTTGTGATGTACAGACAGAAATGAATATATAACTGACAGGACATGGTATATATCATCAATAAGGCCATTGTGCTGGCACCAAAATGTCTGCAAGCTGGAAATATACCAGATACCACTTTGAGAGTGCTGGCTATCGGAAGGTTAGTCACTTACTGATTTCATTGTCTATAATGTAGGTGTCAAACATGTCACTGCCCTATCGTACTATGAATAAGGGATTTTATGGGAAGGTTTGCAGAGCGCCAGCTCCCTGACTCTCCTATAGCAGCTACTATAGTTCAATGGAAAGCCATTTGTGTCATGCAGTGATTGTGATAGGAGTGGTAGGGACAGGCCAAGTGCAACCATCATGTCCATTTTCGGCAGGAACTCGTGCCTTCCCTCTGCTCTGCCGACATAGACATCCACCTTCTCTGATAACTGCCTCAAATAGGAGCATCACCCTTACATCTCTATCATCTACTTCTGATACTTCCTTACTGAATACATCCTCCATTGGTCGTCTGTACACACCATGGAACCCCTACGAAGGTCACAATCGTCCCGGTCCATGAGAAGAAGCCATCACAGTTCCCAATCCAATGAACCTTTCGACCCAGAACTCGCTAGATTCCAGGCTACAACAGCTGCATCTCGAGCGATGCTGCGTTCCAAGTGCTCTTATGATGTCCTCGGTGGTCCAAGTCAAATGGCTGTACCACAGAGGCAACATCGCCCTATAGGTGCTGCACTCAATTTTACAAATACTTCCGCAGAGAATGAAGATCTTCGTCGGTCTGTGCTCGACAAGGCGAGCGATCTATCTCCTCCAGCTGGTCTACCGTCTATCAGGGAGTTTGGAGGACTCGATGCCGGGATCGCTACTTTGCCTTCTTCATATCGGCGACTCCGCAAGACCCGATCGATGTTCACGAATTGGCAGCGCTCCTCCCATGTATCTCGTGGCATGACCTCACCTGGATATCTAAGCAATAATTTCCCGGCAAAGAGAGAATCTCAACATACTTCACGCGCTCCTGGCACGCTGAGACGCTCCATGTCATTCTTCCGAGGGGATACTCGAGATTCTGATGCTCTCCAATATGCTAAGGACCAAGAGGCGGCGATTGAAGTGGCACGTAATCAAAACCAGCAGCCGGAACACTATCAGACTGAACTCCGGAAATCTTCACTAATAGTTCCCAAGTCAAGGCGAGAGCACAAACCCTTCAAGAAAACACTCCGTTCGGGGGTGTCAGACGCAGAGCTAGCAAGCGTGTCGCCGGCAACGCAGCGGTCCACTAACGTTATATCCTACGGCAAGGCTAGATCACTGTCGTCGTCCCTCAAGAAAGGAATCAAGAAGGTGTTTGGGCTCTCCAGACCATCCTCGGCCCGTGTGTCTCTGGGGAAATCTCCCTCAAATGACCAACAACGGACACCAGGGTCGCACTCGTCAATATCCGAAAAGCACTCGGATCTCTTGAAGTCTGGCATCGAGGAAAGCGTCCTTTTCCCCTCACCAGGTACCGAGGGAACTGTGATATATACAGGAGTCAAGAAGTCTGGAAGCTCTGAGAGCCTTGCCACAAGTCGCTCTCGCGTAACAAGCTGGGCGGACTCGACGATAGCAAACACTGTAGTAACACATAGAGCAGACGACCACAGCACTTTGTCTGTCATAGACGAACTAGAAAGCTCAGTCCTCAAGCCGGACTCATCCGAAGATGCTTCACTGGCCACTCGTCGCACTCCAAAGCCTAACTGTACGATAGACAGTCAGCGCTTGTATTCTGCGCTGATGAGGCGCATCGATGGGAACAAGACGGAGAATGCAAGCGAGGAAATCGTCCTTGGCCACGTCAAGGAACATCGCGCAATTCCGACACCTGTGTCCTCAATGTACACTCGCCGTAGTAAGAAGACGATTCGTTTGATCGCCAGCGATGAGTCACTTCAGAGCCCCGGTTCCTATACGACAGCTGATGCGGGCACAGTCACGCCCTGCGAAACAATTCCGTGTCAGGCTCAGCGCACCCATGGCCAAAAGCGTCTGCAGGACAACCATTATGATATTTCCAAACTGGCATCGTCCAAACACACTATCAAGGAGGCTTCTAGAGACGAGACTGGAAACGTGGCTATGGGAAGGTCTCAGGGCCCCGAGGAAAGCGAGGATTCCCCAAGTATATATTCTCGCTCAACAGGTGGAAACTCGCCAAGCACAGAGGACCCAAAACCGGGTGAGTATGACCCTGAACTGGCGAATGAACCAGGTGTGGCTACCATATACGCAAGTCAGCGGGCGATCTATAGCTCGCCAAAGCGTAATCCTGGCCAGGGTCCCGATGCGATGCAACGACCGAGTGGGGATTGGCAGCAATGGATGCACACGCAAATGGAGCGAATTGAATGCCTCACACCTACCAGGCGTCACTATCGAGAAGATGCCCAAATCCAAGACGAAACAGCGGATTTCGCTTACCGAACCCCATCTCGAGACAGACGAGGCTTTTGGAGTGGATCACCGGACGAAGACCTGTGGACGACCTGCAAAGTGACAGCCAGAAATAACTTCTCGCGTCCATTCAGTCGGTCATCGAGTATACGCACCACAATCATTGCCCCGAAGGAGCAACCAGATACTCTGGTTCCACCTCCGCCGCCGGCGGACTTGACCCCCAAGGTATCAAGCAGCTCCAGCGGGCATAGCTTGTTTATAAATCGGGTCGAGACACGGCCTGATGGTATGGCCTTGTCACCAGTACCTGCGCTATTAAATTATCGATATCGAGCCCCTGAGTCCCCGACCCCAAGAAGAGATGCAACGGACAAAGCCCGGTGGAGAACAGGGGGTAGAGGCTACAGTAGACAGCCTTCCAGATTGGATTTGAAGGCCTCCCAATTCAGGACTTCACGTGCACCTTATGAGAATAGAAGATTGACTGACGAGAATGTCCGTGTCGAGAGTGGGTATCACGAGGTCACCAGCCAGGACAGTCAACTGCAAAACATGTACTCCCCCATTTCGAGTAAACGCATGGTGGATATGTTTCTGGAAAGTCGCCGACGACGAGTGGCCACCGAAATATCCGACGCAGCACCATCCGAGGGTGCGTTTATTTAAACCATCGATCAGAAGTCTACATTCGCGAGTGCCCTACTAGGAATGGGTTATCTGTATTTTTCGGTTATCCTTTTGGTCATGACTGACGCTTCAAAGAATGAACAAACACCGATTGTGGCAGATGATGAGACAACTCAGTCTAGTAATAGCGTGTATGATGATAAAACTTATACCAAGTCATTGTCAGGCTGACTCGCTTCCACATGAGTACTTGCCCTCTTAATCAGAGAAGACAATCCATGTACACTGTATACACCGTATGATCCGCTCCCTAACCACTATACCCCCCCAACAAGGGGAATTGATATCAAGATATTAACTACTAAATATGAATAAATATATGGAATACATTTGACTCTGTCAATCTTCCCCTACCCCCTACCCACCACCACACAACCCATCCTCCCAGCTATGTACTTACTTCAACCACCACAAAACAATCACTCCACATAATTCGCCGGAAAACTCCCCTTCACCCCGCGTAACTCCCCCTCCCACCAATCATCCGTACTCTCCGTCTTCTTCAAAACACGGATGCGATCTCCCTCGCGGAAGGCCAAATCTCCGGCGCTTTGACCTCCAAAGTCATACAGGGCCGTCACGTACATGGCATTGTTCGAGTTAGCCCGAGGTGGGGGCGGCGGCGGGGGCTTCTTTTTCCCAGCGACTAAGGCACTCACGCCGGGGGAAGTTGCTCGGATGGTGCTGGATGGGGTGGATGAGGGCTGGATGCGGCTGAAGTAGTCGGCGCGGGCAGCGACGGAGGATGAGGGGCCCGGGGATGGGGTGCGGGCGTGCTCGGTTGCGGAGTAGTAGGATTCGGTGCCTGGGGAGGAGGATGGTTGTGGGGAGAGGTGGTAGGTGGAGGGGATGGTGAGGTTGTTGTTGGATGCTGAGGAGGCTAATCGGGGTTTGGTTTCGAAGACAGGGGATGGTTTGGTGTCGTAGGATGGTTTGGGGGGTGGGGGGAGCTTTTTGTTGCTGATTGCTGTCGCTGTAGCTGCAGCTGTAGCAGACGGTGAAGTGGGCCGTGGGGGCTTGGGTGGAGGAGTCTCGCTGTTTGTGTTTGAGTTCGAGGGACGACGGGAGAATGAGGATCCGTTGATGGCTGGGAGACGGCTGGTGAGGCGGGAGGTTCGTGATTCCTCGGGGACTTGGGACATTTTCACGGTTTTGCCGTTGACGATGCAGCCGAATGCTTCGACTTCTTGTTGGACGGGGAGGTGGTCGCGTTCCCATTCTTGGATGACTTGCTCCATTGGAGGGGCTGGGGATGGGAATTGCGTCTCCTGGCAGTAGTTGTGGACTACGGTATAGTAGTTGGCTAGCATGGTGTTTTGGATCTCAATCTGTGTGGCGAGCAGACGAGGAAGTAGCGAGAATGCAGCGGCGATCAAAGGTGGTAGGCATTCTCGCAGGTGGTCGTCCGCTGCGTGGTAGTCCTGCGACCGTTAGAGACCAAATATAGATAGATGGATTGATGGCAGATGGCACGTACCTCGGTCGCTTTGGCAAGGTCACTTTCTGCCTTGGCAAGGGCTGCATTGTCCCGGTCTGATCGCTTCGTCTTTTTGGCATAGCTGTCTACGCGCCCTTGGTAGCGCTCGAAATCCAACTAGAATGGGAATAGAGTTAGTATGGAATGGTTGCATTGATGGGCGGGTTCCTGAGCGGGAGGCCAGGAACAAGGTTCCTATGGGTCCCCCATGTGCAAGATAATGCGCACCTTTCGATCATCTCGCTTTTTGATGGTCTTCTTAACTGGGCTTATAAATTCCCTAGCTTGCGACGCAGGTCGGATCATGCGATCATCGATGGCAGCCAGGTCCCCTAGTAGATCTTTCCGGAGGTCTTCATAGTGCTCGCGGAGCTTGTTGGTCCGAGCCAGGGTGGCCTGTGGGGTTAAGGCAGGTTGTGGCGCAGAAGAATCGGATGAGCCGAGGATGGGAGCATAGAGGCCTTCGAACTCGCTCAGCATTCGATTTTGGTGCGTCAAGAGAGACGACCAAGCATCGCGCCATGCGCTGGTGGAATCGATGATCTGTTGGAATGCGGAAGAATTGCTGTCAGTTTCCAAAGATACGGAAGGATATCAACAAATCACACCCCGCAGGGGAAGTGCACGCTAAAGCATGATGCTGGGAAAAGAAAATATAATATGATGTACTACTTACTCGTCCTAAGATCTTGTCTGCTTCTTCAAAATCCTTGAGCAGAATTGCCACCTGGCTGTCATCGGCCGACCGTTTCATCAGTCGGCCAAATTGCCTCTGCATCGACTGCATGATGTGCCAATTGGGCCCCTCAGTGGAGGGGAAGAGGGGAGGAGGAGAAAGGGAGAAATGCGGAGATTGAGACGGACAGGCGGGGAATTTGTGATCAGGATAGAGAGACGGTCATTGGCGAAGAAGGAGATTCAGGGACGAGGAAAGGGATTGAAAATGACCGCGGAATCAGGAGAAGTTTAGAAACAGGGAGGGGGAGAAGAAGAGAGAGAATGAGGAATCGTGGCATTGCTGGAAAAGGACTCATTTGCGCGTGAGAACTAAGCCCAGCCGCGCATGACGCAGCCCCCCTCAGAGGGGCCGTTACTACTACTTTTGCTGCTGCTGCTGCTGCTTTCCCCAGCAAAAGGGAAAGAAAAGAGGGTCTCAAGCGTGTTTCAGCCTTCTGGCTGGATGGGCTGACGCAACGCTATTTTTGTCGCGAATAATATCTTTCTTTCTGCGGTGGGAAAGTACCTTGTCGATCAGGTTCACATGAATGGATTTCTCTGGTGATTTCCAGGGAACGGACCAGTTCCAACTAGTCGATGCACTACCCTGACGCTAAAGGATATGCCAGATATTGCTACTTTGTATGTGGGAATATGCTATTTATCTGTGTATGAAGTGTAATGACAACCTCCTTAACATGCTCTCTATAGCTTGTGCCGCGCGGTCCTCGTAATTAAGGATACACTTCGTGGGATGAATTGCGCAATTGTCTCCAGTAACCAAGTGGTACCGCCAAGGCAGACTCCGTTGCAGCCAAAACGAATGATTTGATGACAGGGAATGGCGTGCATTGCTGATATGCACGTCAAAACAAATCAATAACTAATAATGCAGATTGACTAACATGCTACCTGCCTGAGGCAGACATCCCGTCTCCGCGGCTCAGTTCCGCCAATCTTCTCGACTTTCTTCCCCGCAACAATCAATCCCTCCCTCCCTCTCTCCCCCTCTTAGATGGTGATCAGACACAGGGCCACCGATCAAGGGCCCTGTTTCTGTCTCGACCATTCTCCATCCACACCAAAATGGCCACCCCACGAAGTACCCCCAGTATGAACGTCCCCGCGACCCAAAACACCGCACCGGTGATCCGCTTCCGCTGCCTCTACACCTATGACATGCGACGCAAAGCCAAGCGCTGGCAAGATGGTTTTCTCCGATACCACACCTTCAACAAACGCATCATGGTATACGATGTCGCCGGTAACTACGTGGGCGACCACCACTGCCGACAGGATGAGGGCATCCAAGACGGTGACGAACTGGAGCTGGACAACGGCGCCCTGATTGAAGTTTGCGAACCGGTGGAGAGAACGGAGACCGACCTGTCGGGGTTGCATAGTAACAAAAGAAAAGGCCAAGGCTCGCCATCTCAACGACCCGGAGGGACACCAACCCCTACAACAGTCGTCTATAATTCCTCTACGCCCGCACGACCTTCTTTGCCCTCCCAGCAGAAACCGACCCGCTCTCTAAATGATCTTCTGGGTATCAAGAAGACTCCGACTCCGAAACAGCGCGCAGGTTCGCCTCAGACGTGTCCTACATCAAACCATACATTGCCAGTGAATAGAAAAGGGAACGAGCAGGTGGATTACCCTGCGAAACGAAAAAAGACAGAGACCGCGTCCGAGAGTGTGGCCCGTCGGCGTGAACCAGCAAGCGTCGATCTGACAGGACCTGAGCCGGAGATGTCAAGAAGACAGACAGAGGCAACATCAATCGCACACTCTAGAACAAATGACCCAAAGAACCGCACCACAGCCCCTCCCATCTCTCATTTGGAACCCACGCACCAGGCCAACAATATACCCCAGCGAAAGCAAACCGCTCCCAATCCTCCCAAGCCCCGAGAACCACCCCAACCCCAACCTCCAACACCAGAAGCAGAAGCAGAACCACCAAGAAACAACGACCCCCCAGCCAACATCCTCCGCCTCCCCAGCAAAACCAAACCCTCGCGCAAGAAGCTCATGTACCATACCATCCTAGCTCAGCAGCAGCAACAACCACACCAACAACAAGAACCCCAACAACAGCCACAACCACAACCACAACCACAACCACAACCACTTCCACATCCACATCCACAATCAGAGTCAGTATGTACCAAACCCCCAGAATGCCGAACAAACCAAACTGACCATCACCTTATACTAGAAACGACCATGACAACGACCATGACAACGACCCCATAGTATTATCAGATGACGACGATAATGATAACCCACCACCTTCGCCCCCGCCGCGCCCGCAACACAATACCACCACCGTTCCTAGAACAACTACACCAAAACCACCTCAACCCCTAAAAGCCGGAACAGAGCGCAGAACCTCCTCCCTCCAAAAAGCACACTCCGATCCTACAGCCTTTACTCGCTTCAACATGACCACCAATACCAACAATAACAATACCCGTCCTCCCCCACAACAACATCACAATCATCGCCGTCGAGCTTCAGAGAGCGGTAACAGCCCTCTAGATACAACTGACAATAACAACACCAACGAAGAAGAACCAGACACCGATGGTGGCCCATGGACATGGGAAGCTCAGTACCTGTTTGACTATTGGCCGGCTGGACGGGCGAAGCCGACTAGGACTTGTTAGTCATGACTCTTTCGGTTTTTATTACCGGTGATTGATAGATATGTTATGACCTTAGTTTATATATGATACCCTTAGATAATTATCGAAAATATTGATGAGAACTGAAATGATGG